ATATCTTTGGACTGCAGGAAGAAATCGGAGCACCCAGGGGAAACCCACGCAGACACGGGGAGAATGTGCAAACTCCACACAGACAGTTGTCTGAGGGTGGAATCGAACCCAGGTCCCTAGCGCTGTGAGGCAGCAGTGCTAACCACTGAGCCACCGTGCCACCCAGAACTTCTTACTGCTTTATTTTTCTAACTTATTCCTATGACCAATAATGCTGGACTATTTATTTTTTTAATTTTCTAATTTGCTTTTGTTTCCCAGGAATTTGATCTTAAGTATCTGTACCTAGGTGCTTGTGTTCCTAAGATGGCACTGTAATGCAGCGACTGTAAACTTTTCACTGTACTCATTTGACTACATGAGACAATAAAGCGAATTCAAAACCAAAGCAGTTGTACAAGACCTTTATGAAACATGGGGTAAGCCTTAGTTGGAATGTTTGGGTTCAGTTTTGAGCTGCGCTTAGAGAGGATCTTAGATAGGAAGTTGAAAAGACATCCTAAACTGATGCCAGGAGTGAGCAATTTCAGTTATGAAGAGAGACTGGAGAAGACACCTGCATCCTCTGGAGTTTAGTCAGTAGTGATTCAGTTGAAAAATACGAGGATGTTGCTGGGGTTAGAGGGTTTGAGCTATAGGGAGAGACCGAATAGGCTGGGGTTATTTTCCCTGGAGCATTAGAGATTGAGAGGTGACCTTACAGAGGTTTATAAAATCAAGAGAGGCATGGATAGGGTGAATAGCCAAAGCCTTTTTCCCAGCTAAGGGAGCCCAAATCTAGATGGTTTAAGGTGAGAGGGGAAAGATTTAAAAGAGATCTAAGCGGCAACATTTTCATGCAGAGAGTGATGCGTGAATGGAATGAGCTGCCAAAGGAATCTGCCAGGTGGAGGCTGGTAAGATTATAACATTTAAAAGGCATCTGGATGGATACATCAATAAGAAAGGTTTAGATGGATATGGGCCAAATGATGGCAAATGGGACTAAATTAAATTATGATATCTGGTAGGCATGGACAAGTTGGGCTGAAGGGTCTGTTTCCACGTTGTACATCTCTATGACTCTATTTAAGATCCTGAGGTGGATGTCAAAGAATGTTTCCTGTTGTGGGAAAATCTAGAAGGAGGGGTCATAGGTTAAAACTCAGGGTTGTCTACTTAAGACATGATGAGGAAATCTGTTTTCCCTTAGAGGGTTGTGAGTCTTTGGAATTTTCTTCGCAAAAGGCAATGAATGCAGAATCTTTAAATATTTTTAAGGCAGGGGTAGAGATTCTTGATTACCAAGGGCATGAAAGATTATCAGGGATATGCAGGAAGATAGAGTTAAATTTAAAATCTGATCAGCCATGATCTTATTGAATGGCAAAGCAGGTTTGAAGGATCGAGTGGCCTTCCCTTGTTCCTTGTTTGTCTGATTGTCAGCTTTCTTCCTAACGGAACTTAAGAGGATATCTGTTAAAAGGCATTCAAAATCCTGAATGGTTTTGAGTAAACAAGGAAAAAACTGTTTCCAGTGGCAGATGTGTCTGTAACTGGAGGTTACATATTTCAGATAAAGAACTAAAGGCATCGTGAGGAAACTATTTGTTTCCCACATAGCGTATTGTTGAGAGCAAACAAATGCAGTCTGAAAAGGCAGTGGAAACAGATTAAATGGTAATTTCCAAATAAAATTTTGGATATACTCTTGAAGGGAAAGAAAGGTCATTGCAGGTCGATGAGAACAAAAAGAAATAAATCTACTTTTTATTCTTTGTCACTGCTTCGTCACTGGGAAGGTAAGGTTGTTTTCTTTCCTGTATAAAAACTTACCTCGTGCAGCAGCGGCCTTCTTGTTTTCAG